CCGACGCTGTTGAGAGGCCCCCAGCCTGCTCTGTCTGGCTCCTGGGTTAGAAGCCGGCCTGCAGCACAGCTGAACCTTTAACCGTGGAGTAGAGGGGCCGGTGTCCGGGCACACAGGTGGGCACGGGGTGCGTCTGGGTTTGCCTGGAGAGGGGCTGTCCGCCGAAAAAAACCCCCCCCGTGCTGGCGTTCCTCCCTCCTGTGCTAGCAGGTGGTTTATGACTGTTGCTTAGTCTCACGTGAAAAGACCTCGAAGACCACTGAGGTGAGTATTTTTAAGCCTTATGGGCTTCAGCAGCTTAGGCGGTTGAGAACTGCACACGTGTTCTTCTGTAATCTGCTTGAAATAAAACCAAACCGCGCTGAGCTGATCCACCTTCAGTGGATGTGAAGGATGATGTTTGTTTAGACAGGAATTCATGCCCTCCAATGAGTTTCTGCCTGAATTTGAACAAGATTTGGTTTGTTTCCTTTTGTAACAAGGACATAGAATGCTGGCAGGGGGAAAGGGGACGGGAGTATGTTAAATGACTTTATGGTGTTAAAGTCCTTTTACCATCATTGTTATGATAGTATCTAAGTCGCATGGATCCCTGCTGGTGATGACAAACTGTTGTGCAGATTGTTAGGGTAACCAGGCAAGTTGGCAAAGTCAGGCCAGGCCTGTATGTTAGGAATGCATATTGAAGCCAGGTCCTGTAAACACTCACTAATGTGTGGACTCTTGTTGCTAGGGCTTTGCACAGAAATAACGAGACATGCATGAGTGCCTCTTTGAAGTCTTAATGTGCTACCTGGCTATTTGAAAGCCAGGATAGTCAAGGGTATGGTTTCCGTAGTTCATGAGCTTCAGTCTTGGTATTTTCGTTTATAAATACATTCACACCTTTTTACGGCTCATTTTGGAGTTTAGCCAAGTAGACCTATATTGTTTATGTGCGCAGATTTTTATGTCTCACACAAAGATGTCTATTGTTTACACAGAAACTGTAAGAGGAATGTTTTGTTAACATTTTGTTAGCAATATAAATTAACAAACACAAATGCAGACTGGAACTTGAAACAAAAATAGCCCTTCTTAGAGCAGAAAAACACAGCTGCCAGAAAACTGTTTTTCAAGGAAAACTATGCACCTTTTGGTTCTATGTTTCTTTTAAAACAGCTTCTATCATTTACGTGCACATGAATCTTCTACTGCATGTAACTTTCACAGCAACTTAGTTTCACACCTATGTACCCCTCTAAACAGTGTTTCTTTTGCTAAACAAGATTGGCTGAATTGTGATTTTTTTAATTATTATTATTACATTTGAAATTTGTTTTTAGTTGGGTGTGTCCCTGTTAGATTTTCAAATTCCTGAGCTGACTGCAATGAATTCCCCTCTCCATTGTCAACATGTGTCTTTTCCATTAAGACTGACTGCTGCCTTCGTCTTCCCTTAAGAAACTTTAAATTGCTTGAAATATTATGACCAAAAACCTGTTATGTTTTCAATATTCCATGTTCAAAAAAAGAAAAAAAAAATCCACAGCCTACATGGAGAATAGTTACAGAGCCTGTGCGGTCCTGCTTTTTGTTGTGGAGTCTTTTGACTTAATGGACATGGAACACAAATTTGCAATCATGATAATGCATATGAGTGGCTTTTAATCTCTCTCATTTGCACTGTTTCTAACTTAGTCCAGTGATGACCAGTATCTCCCTACAGTCAAGTGACTGATACCTGTTTAGATGTGAGGAGTAACTTGTTCTCAGAAGCACCTAAAAGCGCTTGGTATTGTAGAAAGAAGAGATCACAGTAGTTTGGAAGCTCCACGGCAGCTGAGTGTTTCATTTTTACTGTATCAGCAATGATGGCTAGTAGGTATTCATCAGATCATACAGGTCTAGTAGAAGAAAGTCAGAATTTCAGTACTTGCACATCTCCTAATGCACAACAATATCTCTCTTTTTAGAATTATTATCAATGAAGTGATTTGGCACTGTGGTTTTGTGCTGTTTTTCACGCTATTTCTTCGCTTGAGTTTTTCTACCTGTCATTCATGGGTTCTTGCTTTCGTGACTAGTAGCATAAAATTATATTTGAATATCATAGTTACCATCTTACATTCATTATTTCTACATTGCCTGATCCTCTCTAAATGAGTATTCATATCTGATTTCTATTTGATGATTCATTGTAAATGTTCACAGGTATCTTTTCCTTTTTTCAGCTTTCTCCATTGACATACAGAAGAATATATGCTGATTCCACTACAGCTCACAAGTATTGTGTTTATTTTTTTATTTCATATGTTTTAGGAAGCAGAAAGTGAACTGTTTATTTTATGTCTTGTGTAGTGCTTAGTACAGTGAGATCCTGTTCTGCAACTAGGCTGTGTAGGGAGGACAGTAAAAATACTGATGTGGAAAACAATTTTTAAAGCTTCTACTAATTTTTTTACAGTTTATTTCATAAGGCTTTGATTTTTATAGGGACCTCGGTGTCCCTGTATCCTTGCACTTATGTGGCTATTCACTGAAATCACTGACTATTCTGTTTGTATATGGAGATCCTTAACAGGTTTAATTGGAATTAGAGGTCTGTGGCAAGATGTGATTGGAATCAGACCGGATGGAAAAAAAATTCAGTGTTAGGAAGGTGTTCTGGTGTGGAGATGAGTTGGTTTTATCATCTCCCAAGAAGAGATTTTGTTGCCTAAAGCTTCAGATCATGAACGTGTGTTTTGTTTTAAAATAGATAGTCTTTTTCCATTTTAGGTGTTTGCTTAGTAGTTGTATTCTAGCAGATTCTGTGGGTGCTTTAGGATGATGTCTACCTACAGTAACATGTCAGAATTCCAACATAACTTGGTAAACGAAAATAGGACAAAAGAATTCCCTGGTTAAGTTCTGAGTTCCAGGTTCAGTAATGTTTCCGTCTTTTTCTTTCTGTTCTCTTAAAGGAAAAATGATATTCATCCGGCATTCC